TTAAACTGGTGTATGGTGTTCTTAAACTCTCGGCAGATTTCCCAGCGGTGGCGGTCAATCAGTGGCCGCATTTCTTACCTGTCTTCTCAAAGAGTAATCTGTGCCGCCTCCCACTGCCCACTTCTTCCCCCTGTCTTACTTTGAATGTCCTTTTTCTTTGGCTAATTTCATGTTTTCTTTCTCTTTCTCTCTCCCTCTCCAGCTTTTTTTAATCTTGTCTGCAGCAGCTGCACTCAGTCTAAAGGAGAAGACTGCCATTATAGAAGAGTTAGGGTTCCATATTGTCTCAAACCAGAAACCAACCAATTCCCTCTGCCCTCAAATTATGCATGTGTGCACATGCGCGCACACATACTCACTCAACAAGTGTTCATGTGTCCCTATGTCCAGGCAACAAGCTCTCTTCTGACTTACATGGTATTTTAAATGGAAGTGTCTTGTACTAACCTAACAAGGCAGGAAAAGAACTGGCAGAGCTGGAAAATGGAACAAATGTAACCTCAGAGAGACAACTACAGGAGAACTCACCCACGTGTAAGTGACTGGGGCAGGAGACCTCAGCTGTGGTTGTGGAAGTGCTGTTCAAAAGGTGTTTGAGCTCTGTGTTTTTCTTTTTGAACAATTCTCCCATTCCATGGGTTGACTGTCTCCAACCACTATTAAACATTTCTGAATATGGAAGCGAAAGCCAAACAACACTTGTGTCTTTTTCAGCATCCACAGACCTCCTGCAGACCCCCAGCAAGGGGCACATGGATCCACTAGCTAACGCTCAAGTGGAGAAGGGAGAAACAAGACAGGGGGTTCAGCTTAGTGAGAGCACAATAACTCCATTCAACCTTCCAAGGCTAGCTGGGGCTTTGAGATGAGTCTCTGCCCACCCTGAGATCTGGAGGGAGCGCTTTGGTGTTCATGAATCTGTCTTGAGTTCGTTGATTTACCTTGCATCAAAATACCATGTGAGTGTGCTCATTGTCATGTACTCCTGCCATCACCATTTCGCTGTCCAGTGTCTCTTGAGAGAGCCTTTTTGCATGTTTTCCAGAATCTGTTTGTTTTTCCTTTCTTCTCCTTTGTTCTTTTTGCCCAAAGGTGTGACCGGTCACTGCCCCTCTGGGGCCTTCATTTGCCAGGAGAAACATCCCAGAACCAGCACTGTTTAGCTTGATACCTTTCTAATGTCCATGTCAATTTTCAATAAAATTCAAAGAAATGCTAAATGATTGTGTGATCAGATCCTAAATCGTTAGGTGATATGGCCCACCATGGTTTACCCCAGGAAGAATGGTTGGGTGCCTCCCAAGTGAGGGATTTGAAGGGCTCAGGGAGGTACCACCAGCTGATGGAATCTTCCAGAATTTTCCCACCAGGGAAGGGTGGGGGCAGGCAGGAACTTCTTTACTTTTTCTCCTTTTATTAGCTGGGATTTAACTGATCAGTTGAGCTAATTATAATCCAGGAGGAAGTGGAATGCCAGGTCCTACAAAATGAGATTCAGGTGAGTTTTAATTACGGAAGGGAAGGAAAGAACTTGGTTGTGCGACTTCCTTCATTTAATCCTGTGCTCTAAGTATCCAGAGAATTCATGAATGTGATTGTTCTTTATGGCCTGAAAAGCATTCTACAGATAGCCACAGGTATTTTGCATCCTGGGGCCACCAGGGAATGATGTCTCCTATCCCGCCAAGCATTAAAATGGGCAAAAGGGAGAGTGGTCAGTGTTCATAATTCTGGTTGTGGTCCAGTGGAGAGGAGTTCCTTTCCATAGCTTCATTTCCCTAATGGCTAGATCCTGAAGACCAGACAAGTGGTCTGTATCCTATACGTACGGCCTGTAGTAGGCCTCTGAAGGAGGACCAAACCAAAATCAAACTCACTGCCACTGAGGGGATTCCGACTCAGCAACCCTATAGGACAGAGTGGAACTGTCCCATTGGGTTTCCAAGACTGTAATCCTTATGGCAGCAGACTGCCACATCTTTCTCCCACAGAGCGGCTGATGGGTTCCAACTGCCGACCTTTGAGTTAGCAGCTGAACACTTTAACCACTGTGCCACCAAGGGCTCCTGAAGGAGTGCCAGAGGAAACAATATTGGCCTGCCTCCTCGAGCTTGCACACTAGGGGGCAGCCGAGTGAAACGATAGTCTGTAACATCACTGAACAGAGAGGCGGGCACTGGAGTGTGGTGGAAAAATACAGGCTCTGGAGCCAGACAGACTTGCTAACCGGATGCTCTGGGACAAGTTGTGTCAATAACTTCTCTGCAAAAGTAGGAATATCAGTAACTCTCGCAGAGTCATTGTGAAGGCTACATACCAGGGTGTTCAATAAATGGTAGCCCTTATTAAGCATGGAGTTTTCCCTTTACTAGAAGTATTTACTTAGGTGACTCTGGTCTAGGGCTTCTCAACTTCAGCACTATTGACATTTGGGGCTGGATCATTCTTTATTGTGAGAGGCTGTCCTGCACATTGTAGGTAGTTTAACAGCATGCCTGGCACTCCCCTCACCTGGTTGTAACCAAAACTTTCTGGAGACATTCCCAAATGTCCCTTGGAGGACAAACCTGCCCCATGTTGAGAACCATTGCTCTAGGTTAAGGGTCAGCAATCTTTCTGTAAAGGACCAGCTAGAAATACTTTGCGGTCTCTGTTGCAACTATTCATCTACTGTAGTAGCACAAAAGTAGCCATATATAACACATAAAAGTATGGGCGTGGCTGTGTTCCAATAAGACTTAATTTTTGGACACTGACATTTGAATTTTATATAGTTCTCCCATGTCCTGAAATGTTATTATTATTCTGATTTTTTCAACTATTAAAACACATACACCACACGCACAAATTCTTAGCTTGAGGGTCCCACAAATACAGGCAGTGTGACCAGATTTGGCCTGTGGGCTATAGTTTTCTGACCTCACCTCTAATGCATTTCAGTGATTATTTATGCACTATCAAGCTTAAAGGGATCAGAAACTACCAGCTTTGCAAAAGAAATCAGAAATGAAGACAAACTATCAAAGTTTTAATGTAAGTCAGCGGGAAAAATGAGTTTGAATTTACTAAAATGTACGTGCACTTTTGTTAGAGCACAGATGGTGGGGGGCTGCTATGGTGACTGGTGCCTGCTCCTGGGGTGGGGAGCCACTGAGCAGGTGAGAATACCAACTGCTTTAAGGGAGAGACGGGCAGATTACCCAAGCAGCAAGGTTAGCACAGGCTTACTTGTGTTTACTTACTAATCTAACAAAAGTTCACGTGGATTTCACCATGCTTACCTTGCTTATCGGGTAATCCGACACAGGGAGAGAACCAAGCCTCTAATACTCTCAAGAGGTCCAAGTAAGCAGGGCTCTAGTGGGAAGCACTAAGGTTAATTAATCCGTGTCCTGCCCTGTTTGACTAAAACACGAGGCATCTGTTAAGCACATAAAAGTGGTGCCCTTTGACTGTAAAATGATACAACCTCTGTGGAAACTGGTATGACAATCCCTTAAAAAATTGGAAATAGAAATACCATTTGACCTGGCAATCTCATTACTAGCTATATATCCTAAAGAAGTGAGAGCCAGAACACAACTAGATATATGCACACCCATGTTCATCACAGCATTATCCACAATAGCAAAGAGATGGAAATAACCTAAGTGCCCATCAACGGAGGAATGGATAACCAAAATGTGGGACATACACACAATGGAATTCTATGCAACCCTAAAGAATAACATCAAATCTACAAAACATCGCATAACGTGGATGAACTTGGAGAACATTATGCTGAGTGAAACAACTCAATCAACAGAAGGACAAATATTATGTTAGTCCACTATTGTAAAAAGTCAAGGAAAGGTTTATACATGGAAGGACAATTTCTTTGTTGGTTACCAGGAATTTCTTTGTTGGTTACCAGGGATGGGGTGGGAGGGGAGAGAAAATTGCTAGATAGGTTAATACATATACATACATACATACATACATATATATGTATATATATGTAGGAGAGAGAGCTCTGGTAGCATAGTGCCTAAGGTTCAAACCCACCAGTCACTCCTCAGAAGGAAGATGGAGCAATCTACTTCCGTAGTGATACTGCCCCAGAAATCCAAGGAGGGGTCGCTATGAGTCAGGTCTGACTCAATGGCACATAACAACAACAACAACAACACACACACACACACACACATATACCAAAGATTATTAGTGGTTACCAGCAAAGAAGGAAGGGGAAAAGGGGAAGTTTTTGTTTATGGGGAATTGCGTTTATGCTATTGGTGGTGGAATGTTTTGGAAAAGGATAGCAATAATAGTGGCACAACATGAAAAATATCAGCAATGATGTCCCTGACCTGTAACTGGGGAAGTTGTTATGTTGGTGAATATCTTGTTGTGTATGTTTTCACCACAATAAAAGTATTTAAAAAAAAAAAAAGTGGTGCCCATTGATCACAAATAGAACACCATTCAACCTTCTCCAGTCATCCAGCCATCCATCTCTTCCTGTTCCAGACATAGGGGATTCAAGGACAAGTAAAACATGGTCCTGGCCCTTAAAGCAGGGCAATGTTCTGACTTCTGGGGACCCTTTGGTCCATTAGAAAAAATACACATATCTAAAATCATATTTTATGACTGTATTGGTATAAATAATATAATTCAGGCTAAATTAATTATATCCTCATTGTTTTGCTTCTGATTAAAAATATAATGGAACAATAGAAGTTCCTGGATAGACTGGGAGAAAAATGTGGAACAAAAATCAAAATCCTATAAAGGACCAGGCTTACTGGTCTGATGGAGACTGGTGGAACCCCCAAGACTACAGCTCCGAGTCACCCTTCAAGCCTAGAACTGAACTCACCCCGTGGCTCAACTTTCAGCCAAGTTACAGACAGGCCTATAAGGTGAACAATAACACTAGAGGGGTACACACTCCTTAAAACAATCAACCACACAAGATCAACGAGCAGCATTTGCTCAGGGATAAAGCTCAGAAGGCAGGAAGGAATAGGAAAGAAGGGCAAAGGGAAACAGGAAACAGGGAGGAAGTGGGAAGAGTGCTGTTACATTGTGGGGTTTGCAATGAATGTCCTGAAACAAAATGTGCAAATTACTCTGTAAACTTTTAACCAAATCATAATAAATAGTTTTTTAAAAAATGAAAATATCTTCATGGATCCCTAAAAGTATTGTGTGCCCTAGGCGTGGTGCTTACTGGATTCATTGACCCTGCCTCAGAGGACCTCACAGTCAAATGGGGAGGGACAGACAAGAAAAGAGTACTGCAATAGAGTGACAGGGTTTTCTTCTTCTTTCAGCAGAACTGCTACTCCCTTCTTTGTGGCCCCAGTATAGTTCCCAGGACATGTGTACATCGGAGACTCTAACTTTACTACACTTTTTGGTTTCTGTGTCTGCTTCCTTCTTGTAAGCACTTTAAGGACAGGGGTTCTGTGATGTTTGTCATTATATTCCCAGTGCCTGATATACTACTAGCTTATAGTAACCACCCAGTGACTGTTTTGTGGAATGAAGAATGAATAAATGAATGAATGAATGAGACATGTGCAAAGTTCAGTGGTATGACAGAAAAGGGAGCCAGTAATTCTGTTTGTAGTGAGTATAGGGGCAGTGGAGTCAAGGAGGCCTCACAGAGGAAGTGACATTGAAGCTGTATCTGGAAGGATGGCTAGGGGTTCCCCAGGTGCATAAGTTATCTGATGAACTCATTAAGTTATTTTTTTTACTATTAATTTAAAAATATGTAATGCTTCATGAATTTGTGTGTCATCCTTGCACAGGGGCCATGTTAATCTTCTCTGTATCATTCCAATTTTAGTATATGTGCTGTCGAAGCGAGCACTAGTATTAAGTCATTTAACCTTCATAGCAATCTTCTCAGGTAGGTATTATTATCAGACATTCTCAATATGGTATATTTTGAAAAGTCCTGGATAGGAATTCCAGTCCCAAAAGGAACCCTCAGCCAAACGTAGCAGTATCTGAAATGCCCCACTTCTGGAGATTCATCCCACTGCTAAAAGGATGGATTTGTTCTGAGGCTGTTCTTTTAATATGCAAGCACATCTTGAGAATCACACATTAACATAGTATTAATATCTAACAGTGGTCTTTATTTATTTATTTTTTTTAAATTGTGATTTGAGAGAAAATTTACAGAGCAAATTCACTTTCCACACAGCAGTTCATACACACGTTG